GGCTGCAAATGAATCAGTGCTGAACACATTGGCACATGCTTTCCGTATACCAAGCCTCTACATCACACTCTGGCTACATTAAAGCAAGACAAGTTTACTCATTTCTGTGGTAGCAGGAGGGAGAGAAATATATCTAGAGTGGACAAACGCAGTTGTTAAGTCCACTGTGACCTCATTTCACTCAACTCATCTTACAGACAGCTACAAAGAGAACAAATATTTTTGGCAACAGCGCCTGGAACTATGCTACTGTTAATTGACATAAACCACAACTAGCATACACAGGATATGTAAACACATAACAAAGCACAGTCTCTAGATAGAGAGAAAAAAGAGATGCTACTATCAAGTAGGGTTTCATAGTGAGAACCAGCATGGTACAGTGGTTTGGATGCAAGACGACAACTCTGGAGATCACAGTTCGAGTCTCCACATAGCTGTGGAAACCCACTGAATGATCTTGGGCATTGTACGAGGGTTGAATAAAAAGTAATGTCTCCACATTACTTTTTATTGTCATAATTGGTAGTACTGGTATGTGTCTGGTACTGGCAGTACTGGTATGTGTTTGGTACTGGTTTGTTCAGTAGACTCTCCTCTACAGTTCCATTTTGGCAGGAAGCCTTAGCATTGAACGGTTGTGTTGTTAAAGTGCAAAGTATGGAACCCTGCACAGACGGTCAGTCAGTGTGACTTAAGCAACATATAGTCATTGAATTCTTGACAGCAGAAGGTGTCACCCGAAAGGAGATTCATCAGAGAATGCAAGCTGTTTATGGTGACTGTGTTGATGTGAGTACTGTGCATCATTGGGCGAGTAAGTTTAAAGATGTTGAGGTGACACCTGCTGTCAAGAATTCAATGACTGCACGTTGCTAAAGTCACATTGACTGACTGTCTGCACAGGGTTCCATACTTTTCACTTTAACAACACAACCGTTCAATGCAAAGGCTTCCCACCAAAACAGAGGAGAGTCTACTGAACAGGCCAGTACCTGCCACATACCGGTATTGCCATTTGTTGAGGAGTTATGAAGGTGGAGGCATTACTTTTCATTCAACCTTTGTATTGTTGAAGGCTTTCATGACTGGAATCACTGGGTTGTTGTAGGTTTTTTGGGCTAAATGGCCATGTTCTAGAAGCATTCTCTCCTGACGTTTCATCTGCATCAGTGGTACGCATCCTCAGAGGTTGCCGAAACGTAAGGGGAGAATGCTTCTAGAACATGGCTGTACAGCTCAAAAAAATTACAACAACCCAGATCTTTGGCATGTTACACTTTCAGCCTCAGAAGAAGGCAGTAACAAACCTGCCCTGAGCAAATCATACCCAGAAAATCTATGTCCTAAGGTTGCCATAAGTCAGAAATGACTTGAAAATATAGAACAGTCATGGACAATTTTTGGCCCTCCAGGTGTTTTGGAGTTCTACTCCCACAATTGTGGGAGTTGAAGTCCCAAACACCTGGAGGGCTGAAGTTTGTCCACGTTTCCTATACAACTACTAACACTACCATCAATCACTGATTATCAAATGCTATCCAATGGAGTGAGTCCTTTTTTGTATTTCACATTTTTACAAGATGCCTTATGCTTCCGAAGAGTACAAACTGAATCAATAAAAGGTGTTGTTAAGCATTCATTGTGACATCTGGTCTTTATCTATGTACTTGTTACAAGAGCAAAAAAACCCAACAATAACCAACACCTGTTTGTGCTTTTCTTATTTTTTCTGAAACAATACACACACTTAACACAAAATCTGCTAAAATGTGGTAAAGGAATGATGTATATAGACATAAATAATAACTAGAAATCAAAATATCCAAAAATGCTTTCACCAAGAAGCACAGGTGAAATCCCATCACCATACAGTAAAACACCCAGATGGTCAAAACTGTATTTTTTTCAAACTTATAACATATTGTTAGTTGTTAAATGCCTGGAAAAATCTCAGAAATGAAGTATTAACCCATATGCTGGTTAAATGCCCTGTGCTGCTATGGTTTATTCTGCATTCGTGTGAAAAGGGCATTTCATAAAACAAATAATTTCCTATCGCCCAAGGCATTCAATCCTTTGCAGTCAACCAGTGTAATAATTGCTATGCATCTTTATCCCAAGGGCTCCTTTTAATGGAAGAGCTCTAATTCCTTTCTCACGTGTACTATCCAAGGTTGCTACAATCTCACAGAGCATACTGAGAGCTAAGAGTTTCATCTTCTCCAGCAGCACGATATGGACAGATTACACCCTGAGACTCGGGTCGTCCCATGTTAAGATCTGCAGAGAAACCAAGTTGTTTCCAACTTGACTGGCGCACACACGTGCAGAGAGAATCTCTAAAAGTGGATAACTCTTGGAAATCCTTCCAAAGTAACAATCAAAAGCAATATACTATTATGAAGTAAAGTCTTATAATACCTGAGCATACATTTCCACAACAGAATCCTCATTCACCACCTAACAGGGGAAACAGGGCTGCATCTGCACTGTCAAATCAATACAGTTTGACACCACTTTCACTGACATAGCTCAATGCTATAGAATCTTGGGAGTTGTTGTTTGGTGATGCCCCAGCACTCTTGGGCAGAGAAGCCAAAAGGCTTTGCAAAACTACAGCTCCCAGGATTCTGTTGACTTGAGTCCTGATGGGTAAAAGGTGCATCTACACAGTAGAATAATGCAGCTTGACACCATATTCATCACCATGCTCAATGGAGCCCCCAGTGGCGCAGTGGATTAAACCCCTGTGCCGGCAGGACTGAAGACCGACAGGTTGCAGGTTTGAATCCGGGGAAACGCGAATGAGTTCCCTCTATCAGTTCCAGCTGCTCATACAGGGACATGAGAGAAGCCTCCCACAAGGATGATAAAAACATCAAAATCATCCGGGCGTCTCCTGGGCAACATCCTTGTAAACGACCAATTCTCTCACACCAGAAGCGACTTGCAGTTTCTCATGCTCAATAGAAGTTGAGATATCAGCCTTCTCTACCAAAGAGTGCCGGTGCTTCACTAAACTACATATCCAGGATTCCATAGCACTGTGTCATGGCAGTTAAAGTGGTGACAAACTGCATTAACTCTACAGTGTATGCACCCCAGATATAACCAAAAGCAGGGGGATGACTTGCCAGGTGTCCCTTGTCAAAAGTTATTTGACAGTCAGAAACTGTCTCCTTTATAAAATTGGGGAAACCCTTTATCATAAAGGGTGTCCCCAATTTGCAGGCCAGGAAGCTTGTCCCATATGTACCTTTAAGCTGCCTGTGGTGTCCCTTTATTATAAGAGATGTCTTCTATTTAATCTTGGAAATATTTTCCTTTGGGTTGTTGTAGGTTGACTGGCACACACACTTGCTGTATGGCCATGTTCTAGAAGCATTCTCGCCTGACGTTTTGCCTGCATCTGTAGCAGGCATCCTCAGAGGTTGTGAGGTCTGTTGGAAACTAGGAAAATTGAGTTTATATATCTATGGAAAGTCCAGGGTGGGAGAAAGAACTCTTGTCTGTTGGAGCCAGGTGTGAATTTTTCTTTCATATAAGAAAATTGAAATGAATTGAAAGGAAAATTATATAGATCGGGCACTTCAACTCCCACAATTCCTAAGCAGCTGAGGGGGAAAAGGAAGGCGCCTGGAGGCTGTTAGGAATTGTGGGAGTTGAAGTCCAAAACTACTGGAGGGCCGACGTTTGCCCATGCCTGATATAGATTGAACAAGTTGCCTAGATAGATAGATAGATAGATAGAGAGAGAGAGAGAGAGAGAGAGAGAAGGGATCATATCTGGGGTTGTAAATCCATCATAGAAATATGACATTAAGTCCAGTTGTGTCTGACTCTGGGGGTTGGTGCTTATCTCCATTTCTAAGCCAAAGAGCCGGTGTTGTCCACAGACACCTCCAAGGTCATGCAGCCAGCATGACTGCATTGGAGTGCCATTAATGGTACATTATGTATTTATGGATGTGGACAGCATCCCTAAAATTATATGAGAAACTCCCATTTAATCGACAGAATACAAACTTTTCAACAGTCTCCCAACCTGTGTGTCATGAATTTTGACTGTCCTCTTATGGTCCTTTTGAAAACCGTTCATTGGTAAATATGAAATAGGAAGAATGAACACGGAATGGCTAGACGATGCTGCTGGATAATGATTCTAACAGGATGACACTGATGATTATGTTTTTAATTGGTGTATATATGGTTTTTTAAAATAATGTTGGGTTGAATGTTTTAACTGTATTTTATGAATGTATGGCATCAAATCTGCCAATTCTGTGAGCCGCCTTGAGTTGCCGTAAGGCTGAGAAAGACGGGCTACAAATGCTGTAAATAAATAAATAAATAAATAAAGGAATTATTGCTAATGTGGAATATATAGTCCTCTTAGATTTTTTAAAGGGAGGTGTGTGTACCAGATGACTTATTTTATTATCAGGTAGACCTTGGGAAAGTCACACTCTCTCAGCCTCAGGAAGGCAATGTCAAACCCTAACAAAGCTTGCCAGGGTTTTTCTTGCATCTGTGAAATAAGTTATGTTTGGCACCACTTTCAGTACCATGGCTATGCGCCTCATCACACTAGAGAAAAAAATCCACTTAAAATCTGGTTTCTGCCTCCTGCAGAATTCTGGGATTTGTAGTTTAGGGAGGAGCCTTTAACAGCCTCACTAAACTACAAACCCCAGAATTCTGCAGGAGGCTGAAACCAGATTTTAAGTGGATTTTTTTCTCTAGTGTGAGGTATAGAAGCATGCGATTTGTAGTTTAGTGAGGCACCAGCACTCTTGGGATGAGGAGACTAAAGACTTGCAAAATTACAACTCCTTCGCCATGGCACTTAAAGAAGTCTACGCCGCAGATGCGCCTCAAAAATCCAACTCAGAAGGTGCCAGCTTGGTCCCCATCCTCCCTCCTTGCAGAAGCTTCCAAAATGTTCCTTTCCACTTCCAAAAAAAAGAAAGGAAATCTTAAAACTTGTCCTTCCTTACCTGGATCAGTCGATTTCCACCGGATCCTCTGGTCTCAGGATCCCTCCAATGTCAAATAAACTGGTGTGTATTGTAGCCCTTAAATCCCACCCAAAAAAGAGACGGAGTAGGGGGTGGGGAACCCTACTAATCTGGGCAGAGAAGGGGCTTGGCAAGAGGGCAGGAGGCGAAGCTGAAGCCCCTCTTGAGCCAGAAAGCCGGCTTGGAGGATGGATGGGAGAGATGAGCCGCCTTCCTTCTCCTGCCCCAACAAACAACCAAAAGAGACGTCCACTCGATCGCGCTGTTGCTGCTACTGAAGGAGAAGAAGAAGGACCCAAGTCAGAAAAGAGGCTGGTCTGCTCCTGGAGTCCGGTTTTAAAGGAGCCGCACGCTCTGCTTCCACCAGAGGAAAGCCAGCGCAAGAGGAGGGGCGAATGGGAGGAGGAGAAGGAGACGGGTGTCTAATCTATCTACACCAGTGTCTCTCAACTCGGGGGTTGGGACCTCTGGGGGGGGGGGCGTAAGGAGTGTAACTCAATTACTTTAAGCATGAAAATCCTGCAAATTGGGTTGTTGTAGGTTTTTCTGGGTTATATGGCCATGTTCTAGAGGCATTTTCTCCTGACGTTTCGCCTGCATCTATGGCAAGCATCCTCAGAGGTAGTGAGGTCTCTTGGAAGTAGGAAAATGGGTTTATATATCTGTGGAATGACCAGGGTGGGACAAAGGACTCTTGTCTGCTGGAGCTAGGTGTGAATGCTTCCTGGACACAGCATTTTATTTGAGAACACAGAAATGCTGGACCACTCTCACAACCACCATGTCAGCCTACACAAATAAGCCATTGAAATCCACAAGTATGTGGACAATTTCAACAGAAAGGAGAAAACCATGAAAATGAACAAAATCTCGCTACCAGTATTTAAAAAAAACTCTAAAATTACAACAGCAAAACAACAGAGAGTAAACAATCAGGTGCATCTAATCTCAACAAAAGATTCCCCCAGGAACTGCCAAGCCATCAAATGCTAATTAAGGTGGTCAATTGAAACAGTCACACCTAGCTCCAGCAGACAAGAGTCCTTTGTCTGGATGGAGGTGAACTAACACTCTAAAACTCAAGGTCAGTGTCCACTAAACCTTTCCAGTATTTTCTGTTGGTCATGGGAGTTCTGTGTGCCAAGATTGATTCAATTCCATTGTTGGTGTGATTCAGAATGCTCTTTGATTGTAGGTTAACTATAATTCCCAGCAACTGCAATTCCCAAATGTCTAGGTCTATTTCCCCCAAACTCCACCAGTATTCACATTTGTGCACATTGAGTCTTCATGCCAAGTTTGGTCCAGATTCATCATTGTTTGAGTCCACAGTGCTCTCTGGATGTAGGTGAACTACAACTCCAAAACTCAAAGTCAATGCCCACCAAACCCTTCCAGTATTTTCTCTTAGTCATGGGAGTCCTGTGTGCCAAGTTTGGTTCAATATCATCATTGGTGGAGTTCAGAATGCTGTTTGATTGTAGGTGAACTATAAATCCCAGCAACTACAACTCCCAAATGACAAAATCAATCCCCCTCCCCCCAAACCCCACCTGTATTCACATTTGGGTGTATCAAGTATTTGGGCCAAATACGGTCCATAGAATGAAAATACATCCTGCGTATAAAATATTTAGATTATGATTCATAACAGCAGGAAAATTACAGTTATGAAATAGCAACAAAAATAATTTCATGGTTGGATCACCACCACCATGAGGAACTGTGTTAAGGGGTCATGTCATTAGGAAGGTTGAGAAACATTGATCTATACCTATAATCAAAGCAGTCTGACATACCTTTAACTGCCCTGCTCAGTGCTATGGAATCCTGGAAGCTGTAGTTTGGTGAAGCACCAACCCTCTGTAGCAGAGTAGGCTAAAGACCTTGTACAACTAGGGCCTCTTCTACACTGACACATTATCCAGATTTTTTTTTGTCATGTCAGGAGCGACCTGAGAAACTGCAAGTCGCTTCTGGTGTGAGAGAATTGGCCATCTGCAAGGACGTTGCCCAGGGGACGCCCGGATGATTTGATGTTTTATCATCCTTGTGGGAGGCTTCTCTCATGTCCCCGCATGAAGAGCTGGAGCTGGTAGAGGGAGCTCATCCGCCTCTCCCCAGTTTCGAACCTGCTACTTGTCAGTCTTCAGTCCTGCCAGCACAGTGGTTTAACCCACTGTGCCACCGGGGGCTCCATTATCCAGATTATCAAAGCAGATAATCCACTTAATCTGCTTTGAATTGGATCATATGAGGCCCTTTCCACACAACTGAATAAAACCCCACATTTTCTGCTTTGAACTGGGATATATGGCAGTGTGGACTCAGATAACCCAGGTCAGAGCAGATATTGTGGGATTTTCTACCTTGATATTCTGGGTTATATGCTGTGTGGAAGGGTCCTCTGTGTACACTGCCATATAATTCAGTTCAAAACAGATACTCTGGATTTTATATGGCAGTATATATGGGGCCTGAGGCTAGATCTACACTTCTCTAGAATTTCAGGATCTGATCCCAGATTATCTGGCAGAGTAGACTCATATAATTGAGTTCAAACTGGGATCAGATCCTGGGATATATGGCAGTGTAGATCCAGCTTTGGGCCCCATCTCCCCCACCATAAAAGTCCAGATTAACTGCTTTAAATTTGATTATATTAGTCTACACTGCCATATAATTCAGTTCACATAATCCGGATTCTATATGGCAATGTAGATGGCATCTTTGTCTACAATGCCATATAATCCAGTTCAAAGCAGATAATCCAGATTTTATATGGCAATTTGATAATCTGGATTGTATGGCAGTGTAGAAGGGACCTGAGTCAACACTGCTATATAATCCAGTTTAAAGCAGATGATCTGGATTTTATATGACAGTGTAGAAGGGGCCTTAATGAAGAGGTAGAACATCATAACAGAAAGGTATTTCTCTCTCCCATTTAAAAAAAAATGCGTTAGTTTCATGCATATTCATATTCACTGTATTTGTTACTACAGAAAGAAATGAGCTGTTCCACTGAAAATGCTTTTGAGAGATATTCAACAAAAATTACTATATTAATCATTGTGTAATTCAAAAATGTTTCCCTTATTAGTGGATTCTGTTATATCACTGCTACACAATTATGCATTGGACTGAAGGAAGGAAATACGTATTTGGGTTCTAAATATGGGTATCATTTCCTTTGGTATCTTTTTCTGAATGCCTCCAAATCAATCGGTGTTTTCCAGCTGTGCTACAGACAGCAAAGGCTCTGGTCCCTGTTCATTCTGTGTGTAAATGCTGACAAAAATCCCTTTCATTGAAGATTGGGGAGTGATATTCTTCAGCAGGCTCAAATACAGAAGCTAGAATTTGAGCTGAAGCATATGCGTGCAATTAATAAATGATTATATATGACAAACACCATTTCTCTGGAGCTTTTTTGCCAACAGCCTTTTGAAATTGGGAAGCGACTTTGGCAAGCCTGGTCCATAAATTAAAACATGCTTACATGGATCTGTTAACAAGCTAGGAATATAACTCTAGCCTCCGGTTTACATGGTATATTTCTACACACATTGACATGAAATCTGGAAAGAAGTCAAAACTATGGTCAAAAGGATGTATCCCCAAGAAAGCCTATACAATATTCCATTAGTCTTCAGTGTATTCAGTCTGAAGGATGTCCAGTTTGAGGTCAATGAGGTTTATTCCCAAATAGATGCATGTAGGTTTGCAGTTTTAGGCCCCTTCTACACTGCCATATAAAATCCAGATTATCTGCTTTGAACTGGATTATATGGCTGTACAGTAGGGGCCTATGATGAAAGGAAATTGAGGGGGAAGTGAGTGATCTCACAGGCTGGAGCTACACTGCTGTATAATCCAGATTATCAAATGAGATAATCCCCTTTGATAATCTGGATTATATAATAGTGTAGAAGGGGTTTTAGTCAATATCATATAAAACAGTTCAAAGCAGATAATCTTGATTATCTTCTTTGATAATCTGGATTATAGGGTAGTGTAGAAGGGGCCTATGATGAATGGAAACTGAAGGGGGAAGTGAGTGATCTCACAGGCTAGAGCTACACTGCCGTATAACCCAGATTATCACATCAGATAATCCACTTTGAAAATTTTGATTATATTGTAGTGTAGAAGGGGTTTTAGGAGTTGCCATATAATCTAGTTCAAAGCAGATAATCTGGATTTTATATGGCAATGTAGATGGGGCCTGAGACCCCTTCTGAACTGTCATGTAATCCAGATGATCAAAACAGATAATTCACATTATCTGCTTTGAACTGGATTATATGAGTCTACACGGTCATATACTCCAGTTCAAAGCAGATAATCTGGATTTTATATGGAAGTTTAGAAGGCTGGATCTACACTGCCCAAGATCTGATCCCAGATTATCTTCTTATCCCAGAATACCTGGCAGAGTAGATTTATATAATCCAGTTCAAAGCAGATAATCTGGGATCAGATCCTGGGATAAAGGGCAGTGTAGATCCAGCCTAAGAGTGCATCGACATTGTAGAATTAATGCAGTTGACTACTGTAATGGCCATGGGTCAATACTATTAGAAGTTCTAGTTTTACAAGGTATTTATCCTTCTCTATGAAAGAGTGCTGGGGTCCTACCAAACTGCATTGCTCCCCCCAGCAACACAATGCTTAAACCCTTGTGACAGCAGAACGGAAGACCAACACGTCAGAGGTTCGAATCTGAGGATAGCGTGGATGAGCTCCCTCTGTCAGCTCCTGCTTCCTCTGTGGGAACATGAGAGAAGCCTCCCACAAGGATGGTAAAATATCAAAACATCTGGGTGTCCCCTGGGCAATGTTCTTGCAGACGGCCAATTCTCTCACACCAGAAGCAACTTGCAGTTTCTCAAGTCGTTCCTGATATGGAAAAACCAAATTACAAACTGAGGAGGGCTGTTAGTAAATCAGCACCCTGGAGATCTCTCATTCAGACACTGCCACAATTGTTATAAAGTTGATTGCAATTTAATAACAACCCAACAAAAACAGTTACAG